GAGAGAGAGAGAGAGAGAGAGAGAGAGAGAGAGAGAGGGGGAAGGAGGGCCCCTTTCTTTATGAGAATGCCTTCAGCCGGGAGTGCTGAGGAGAACCCCAGCATGACTAAAGCCGTAGGCCCCAAGCTCAAATCTGACCTTTGGAGGGTCCACGCAAAGAGTCAGGTATTTAGCACAGCTGGGCTCACTGCACCCCCTCACTCGTTCCCCTTCTCTTTTCTTTCTTTCATGATCCCCCACCCCTCCTTCCTGTTTTTCCCTTTCCCCCTCCTCTTGTCTTCTCAGTCTCCCACCGAAGCATGCTTAGTTTCTGTCAGACAGATTTCTCTCTCTCACAGAGAAGAGATAAAAGCAGAGGACGGGAGAAGAAAGAGAAGGGAAAACACTGACGCACACAATCTATTGCGAAGCGGGATCTGCGGTCGAAGCCYCGGAACTGAGCCGGGGATGTTTTGTTGTTGTGTTTTTCTTCCACTTTTGGAGTTTGAGTGCTGGGGGTCTTCTCAGAAAGTAAAGAGTTGAGGTGGTGGTGGTGGTGGGGGGACACAAAATCTGTGCAGTGGCAAAATTAGTTCCACATGTTTGAGATGGAAATTGGTTGACCCACAGAGATGGTGTGGGGCAGTGGGAGTGAGGGGGGTGAAGGAAGGGGCTCTCCCTCCTCCTGTTTTGCAGGAAAACAAGAATGCAGAGGATCACACCAGGAAAGCAGAGCATGTCAACAAACCCTGAGCTTATTGGTTCTCCTCTCAGCAGCACCACTTCCCAAACAGATGAGCAACTGTACCATCTTATTTATTAATGCCAATGTCTTCATTTCCTTCTCTTTGCACAACTGTGTCCAACCTGTGTGTTCTAACTGTACTTTAGGAACAAATAAAAAGTTTTAGAATCAGACTAAAACTCTCATGGGAGGATTTAAATAAGACTTTTTAACTTACTTTCATTAAAAGTCATTAAAATCAACTAAATCTTCTTATATTTCTACAAAACTTGACAAAAGGTAATAAAAATATAAAGTTTTCCATATGCAAAGAAATGTAGACATTTTCAAACCTTTAAGTAATAACTGCAACCAGATGTGAGGGTTATTTCCTTTGATGCTGGCTCATGCATGCAATCCAGATTTTTTGAAAATGTTCCTGGTATGAAAAGATTTCAGCTGTTGGACAATGTATGGGAGAGAAAAGCAGAATGCTTTCCACACACTCCTGCTTTCATCTCAGACCAAGAAGAACATCTCCACCTGGAATCTGACTCCTCAAGCCTTTTGTTAAACTTGTGTTAAATTGAGCTGTTTTGGTGATAGCAGTGAGATTAAAAGCAGGACAATGCCATGGCCCTGATTGATGCAGCTGTAACAGTCATGAGCTTTGGTGTCTGAGTTCATTCCTGAACCGGAGGAAGGGTTTCAAAGCACAGGAAACTTGAGCGAGCCAGCAGAGGGCTGCCTGCAAGACACTATTTACTTAAAAGGAAGCCTCAGATGCATTGATGTTTTGTACCCACCCTGCCTCTCCACCCCTCCGAACCTCTTGACTAACTGCAAGGCAGGAGGGCACAAATATGRTCCTCCGAGACCCTTTGATCATGTGGCTTTAGCTCCCTCTCTCTCCCTCAGAAATAGCTGCTTTATATTCAGTCAGTTTTAATGAGGGGAGTGATGCTGGATGAATCAACAGTCCTAACCAGATGTGCGTAAAAGTGCGCGCTGCTCTTACCTGCAGCTCTTCTCCAGCACCTCAGCTGCTGTCCGGATGGTCACAGAAGCCCTCAGGTTCTTTGCAGACAGTCCGACCACAGACCCCAACCCCTTGGTTCTCAGATCGGTACAATTCCACTCCTCTTCCTCCATGAGAGGAGGAAGGTATCCGCACATCAGCTTCAGGCTGCCCAGCCCGCCGTGGTTCATGTAGGCGGCGTTCTCGCAGCCGGTGCGCACATATTCGAGGTATATGTCGGAGGTCAGAAACATCTGGTAGGAATTCTCCTCCATGTGAGACTGGATCTCCGTCTGCGCCTGGTCAAACATGTCCGAGTCGATCTGTTGCTTCTTGATGCCATCCCGGATGAAGGTCTTGGTGGCCGGTTTCAGCTGCTTGGCCACCACGCTGTTGTTCTCCACGTACCGCTTGAAGATCACTTTGGCAACTCTCAGAGTTTTGCTGTCCTTTAGGTCCATCTGCCTGAAGCCGTTGCAGGCGAACCAAAAGTCCAACGTGTCCACGCAGTTCTCCCGCTCCAGGAAGGTCCTGAACAGGTGAGCCCCGTCCTGGTCGCCCAGGAGGAAATGCAGGGACTTAGTCCACCGGGCGAGGGGCGAGTCCGGGGACGCGCTGCCCTCTGGCTCCCCGAGTCCATCCTCGTTCCTCCGCGGCGTGGACCCGGGGGGCGCGGAGGTCTCTTTAACCTTGCTCTGGCCTCTCATTGTGCCTGATCTGGTCGGGTTGTAGCATGACGCCTCTCCCTCCTCCCCCGGCACCGGGGGACGAGGAGCATCTTCTCGGAAGCTAGTGGTGCTGCTGATGTGCTCCGTGAGCGCCCTGCTCATGGCTRCAGCTCCTGGGTTTGTGTGTGAGAGAGAGCCGCCGAGCTGCAGCCAAATCCTCACTCTCTAAAAGCAGCGGGGGGGCTTCTCAGCTCCTCTTCAGCTCTGAAACACAAAGTATTGATCTAATCAAAGCCAGATCCTGCTGAACTTCAAAGAAAAGACATCAAGTAAACAGTCCTTTTCAAAAAAATGAAAAAGAGACAGAGGAAAAACTCGCCTGGTTCACAGAGAAAAGGAAGAATGAAAGGCTTTTTTTCGCTTCATTTATCTATTTATAACCTAAATGAAAGATCAACTGCAGCCCACATTCTCCGCGCGCATTGATGTGCCACATCAAAACCATTTTACAGGAATAATCAGCTCACGCGCTCCTAAAAAATGCGATAACCGTGGCTTACACGTGTTTGCCTAACGAGACCGTGTCACAGGCTTCAACTCCAATTACTTCCATACGAATCTCWGCTTCTCGCACACATTTAGCTGTTTCCACTCAGTCCACGCGCGTCCTCGTCCAGGACAGATGTCCACCACCCCGCGGGGAGCAGACAGTCCGTTTATCGGTCAAAGATGGTGATTTACAGCTTTTCTTTTTACATTACAGCCTGAGACGTGCCTGCACTACAAACACTCTGCTGATCTGAGCGACTGAAATCTCAAAAAAAGGTCAAGAAACTGAAACATTTTCTTTATAACAAACCAAGAGAAGCGCTTCGGGGGGGGCACTTCGAGTCACCAAACGCGTTTAAAAATATCAAATTAAAAAAGTGCCAAGCCACATACCATCGCACAGCAGATCCGACCGGATTAAAATCCRTTCAAAAGTTCATCTTTTCGCTCCATTCTTTTCCTAAATCGTGTCCAAAAACTGTCCCGAGTRCCGCGAAGCGCAAATTTCAACCACGGACTCCAACTTGGAGGTTGTTCCGCGCCACATGCGCGCGCTGTTTTCCGCACCACGAGCGCAGGAGTTTCACGTTGTTCTCTCTGTCCCATTCAACAACTGACCTCAGAGGAGGCAGGCTCCGAGCCTATAGGGGTGTCAAAATCTGGAGGAGGAGGAGGAGGCGTGCAGGGGGTTCACTGAAGAAAACATCACACTTTTTACGCAGCACCACCCGACAAATGTTCGGCTTTTTATCTGGGCTAGACATTCATACATTCCGTTTCCCCCCCTCTCTCTCCTCGACACACACACACACACACACACACACACACAC